AGGCTAGCTAGAGTAGTGGAGTACGGAGCACATGAATGAATCGAGTCATATATTGAAATGGGAGAAACTAATCATCAGAGATGCCTTTTGATGGTATGACCTAGAGAATTAAAGAATTTTAGGGTTAAGCATGCTCACTTAAGAGAAATCCTAGAATGGGTAACGGATCTTGTCAATTCAGGATGGGGTGGAGTTGGCCTGATCTAAAAAGCGGACAATTCCTGTAGTGGTTGGAGTAAGGACGTGAATATGTGTCTTAGTGAAAAAGTTATTTGATAATTTAAAAAATATTTTTTCTATTGAAACCACCAATTCATTTGGGGGTTTAGATACAAAACAAAAATTATTTATTATTCCTCTAATTACTTTTTTCTGATTACTAATTAGTACGGATTACTTTTTTGGTTACACTGAAACTACCAATTAAGTTAGTGGTTGAGTGAAACATTCTCTCTCCACAATAGAACAAATATTAAATTTGCAAATTTCAATTCAACATCATGTTTGTAAAATAGTCTTTAGAAGAATATTAGTTTTGTCAAAATCCCTGTATTATTATGGTTCCACACATACTCCTTTTAATTGTCTTTTTCACTTTAAAACATTTATTAATGCTAAAGGTAAAAACAAAATGAGTCAGTGTTAAATGCCTTAACTTAAACCTAACACAATTTCACTATAGCAAGTCGAAAGACTAATAATGTCCTCAATAAGTTTAATGCGGCAAATTTTTGTGCCAATATACATGGAGCATTTGGGATATTTTGACCCGCTACAACAAAAATTGTGTCCGACTCAAATTGGCAACATATATTTTTAGAAATAAAATTACAATAATTACGTGAAAAATAATTTATGGATTATTAAAATCTCTTTATTGTTCCATTAATAAAATGTCAACTTTAAGTTAAAAGAGAATCACACAAAACTATTTTTTTTTTTGATTTAAATACATATTGCCCTTTTTTTGAACTATTCTTAATTTATTTTTTTTACTTTATATGCGTAATATAAAAAATATAAAAATATTTTTTTATTACAAGAGGAAGGCATAAACCCGATTAAATGTTACCACACCATTACCACAGCATGCGCACCATATTAGCTTGGATAAACACTCATACACACGATGAAGAATCCTGGAACAATTAGATTACAAGAAGCATTGACAGCTTCTTCCGCCATAGTATCAGGAACTGTGTTTCTCTCACGATAAAACTTTATCACCTGAATCTCCCATTGCCACCTGGACATAGTCCTTTCAGGCAGTGGCCGTTTAGTCCATGGTCCTGTAGCAAGGCTAGGCATGCCTCCAGCAAATTCCCTAAATGGATAGAAGTCATAGAACGAGATCTAAACATTTCCACAACTTGAGAGTCACATTGAATCTGCACTTTCTTCCACCCTCTATCCCAAGCAATACATAGCGCACAATACACTGCCCAGAGCTCCGAATCCATGGCTAAACAAATCCTCAAAGACATAAAAACCCAACAACCATTTACCTCTCCAATCTCGGAAAGAAGTTGTACATCCTACCAAACTAGGCTGACCTCTGGCACTTCCATCAATGTTAATAGTCACCCATCCCACCATATCAGCTTGGATAAACTTCCATACACACCATGGAGAATCCTGGAAAAATTAAAGTACTAGAAGCATTATATCAGCTTGGATAAACTTCCATACACACCATGGAGAATCCTGGAAAAATTAAAGTACTAGAAGCATTGACAACTTCTTTTGCCATAGCATCAAGAACTGTATTTCTCGTCTGATAAATCTTTTTCACCTGAATCTCCCATCGCCATTATAGCAAGGCTAGGCATGCCTCTAGTAAATTCTCGAAACGGATAGAAGTGATAGAACGAGATGCAAACATATCCACAACTTGAGAGTCATATAGAATATGCACTTTCTTCCGCCCTCTATCCCAAGCAATACATAGGGCACGGTACACCGCCTAGAGCTCCGAATCCATGGCTAAACAAATCCCTAAAGATACAGAAAAACCCAAGAGCCATTTACCTCTCCAACCTCGAAAAGAAGCTGCAGGTCCTGCCAAACTAGGCTGATGTATAGCGCTTCCATCAATGTTAATAGTCACCCATCCCAACATATCAGCTTGGATAAACTTCCATACACACTATGGAGAATCCTGGAATAATTGGATTACAAGAAGCATTGGCTGCTTCTTTCGTCATAACATCAAGAATTGTATTTCTCTCACGATAAATCTTTATCACCTGAATCTTCCATCGCCATTGTAGTTAGGCTAGGCATGCCTCCAGTAAATTCCCAAAACGAATAGAAGTGACAGAATGAGATTGAAACATATCCACAAGTTGAGAGTCATATTGAATCTGCACTTTATTCCACTCTCTATCCTAAGCAATACATAGGGCATGGCACACTGCCCAGAGCTCCGAATCCATGGCTAGATTACAAGAAGCATTGGCTGCTTCTTTCGTCATAACATCAAGAATTGTATTTCTCTCACGATAAATCTTTATCACCTGAATCTTCCATCGCCATTGTAGTTAGGCTAGGCATGCCTCCAGTAAATTCCCAAAACGAATAGAAGTGACAGAATGAGATTGAAACATATCCACAAGTTGAGAGTCATATTGAATCTGCACTTTATTCCACTCTCTATCCTAAGCAATACATAGGGCATGGCACACTGCCCAGAGCTCCGAATCCATGGCTAAACAAATCCCCAAACGCACAGAAAAACCCAATAGCCATTTACCTCTCCAATCTCGGAAAGTTGTACATCTTGCCAAATTAGGCTGACCTCTGGCACTTCCATCAATATTAATGGTCACCCATGCCACCATATCAGCATGGATAAACTCCCATACACACCATGGAGAATCCTAGAATAACTGGATATTACAAGAAGCATTGACAGCTTCTTTTATCCATAGCATCAAGAACTATATTTCTCTCACGATAAATCTTTATCACCTGAATCTCCTATTGCCATTGTAGCAAGGCTAGGCATGCCTCCAGCGAATTCCCTGAACGGATAGAAGTGACAAAACAAGATGCAAACATTTCAACAACTTGAGAGTCACATTGAATCTGCACTTTGTTCCACCCTCTATCCCAAGCAATACATAGGGCATCGTACACTGCCCAGAGGTCCGAATCTATAGCTAAATAAATGCCCAAACACACAGAAAAACCAAACAGTTAGTTACCTCTCCAATCTCAAAAAGAAGCTGTACATCCTGCCAAATTAGCCTGACCTCAAGCACTTCCATCAATGTTAATAGTCACTCGTCCCACCATATGAGCTTGGATAAACTCCCATACACACCATGTAGAATCTTGGAACAACTAGATATTACAAGAAGCATTAACAGCTTTGTTCGCCATAGCATCAGGAACTGTATTTTTCTTACGATAAATCTTTATCACCTAAATCTCCCATTGCCATTGTAGAAGGCTAGGCATGCATCCAGCGAATTCCCTAAACAGATAGAAGTGACAGAATGAGATGCAAACATTTCCACAACTTAAGAGTCACATTGAATCTACACTTTCTTCCATCCTCTATCCCAAGCAATACATAGGGCATGGTACACTGCCCAAAGCTCCGAATCCGTAGCTAAACAAATCGCCAAACACATAGAAAAACCCAACAGCCAGTTACCTCTCCAATCTCGGAAAGAAGCTGTACATCCTACCAAACTTGGCACTTCCATCAATGTTAATAGTCACGCGTCCCATCATATCAGCTTGGATAAACTCCCAAACACACTATGTACAATCTTGAAACAACTAGATATTACAAGAAACATTGACCGTAGGAGATCAACCCACCAATTGAAAAGAGGACCCTTTACCTCTATTGATACTACTGCCAGCAGCATTCCAAGCTCTACTCACTTCAACAATCTTATCCCTTAAAAAACCATAACATAGAGAAAAATGGATGTGAGGGGAAGCAAAATTTTTTTGGTTCCAAGCTTTCCAAATCTACCAAATTCCCATGGCATATCTTGTGTAATTTTTTATATTAACTATCTTTAAATTGAATTAAGGTACTAAATGGTGGATTTAGTTTTGCTTATAATTAATTATGTATGATGTTTACATATAATTAAATACTTCTTGTGTATTTGCAAATCGCTTAAGTTATCTAAAAATAAAATTGTGTATAGAATTTAATTAATGGTCGATTGGTTATAAAATAAAGTTCAAAAAAAAAAGAAATATCTGTTGCACAACCACGATATTATATAAAACTAAACCGATAGGTGTGGGCACAATTAGGGTCAAATCGAAATTTTAATTGATTCAGCTCACTTCAAAATCAAAAAATCTAAATCCAAAAAATTAAGTTAAAAGCCAAAAAAAAAAAAAAAAAAAAAAAAAAAAAAAAAAAATCAAAAAATTAAAATACACAAAATTAGTTAGAGAGGCCAACAAACAACAAAAAAAAAAAAAAAAAAAAAAATAAACGAAACTAAACTCACTTGAGTGAGTAGGTAATTTGGTCTTTCATAAACCGAATTCGAATTACTTGTTAGACTTTAATCTCTATCTCTGATTGATTTGATTTGAAAGATCTTGATTTGCTTCATTTTCAATTGATTATATTCGAATTTGAAATATTCATGCTCACACACTCTAAGGCAAACCCATGAACGCTGTCAAATCTCTCTACTTTTAATTCCTAAATCTCAGGCAAAAATTTATGAACATTAAAAAAAAAAAAAAAAAAAAAAAAAAAAAAAAAATCAAACCAAACTAAATCAATTATATTCAATAAAGTTTGGTCCTTTATAAACGAATTCGAATTACTTGTTTTGACTTTATTCTATTGATTGATTTGATTTGAACTAAAGATTTTGATTTGTTCATTTTCAATTGATTAATTCAATTTGAATATTCATGTCAACATTGTAGGAAAATGAACGTGTCAGAATTTTCTTACATTTTTAATTCTAAAATCAGGCAAGAATATTATGACATGTTTGGAACAGAGCTGAGAGCAAGATCCAACAATGTTATATGCTGGACATAATAAGATAGGAGGAACAGAAAACTTCAGGAACACAGCCATCAAAATGGTGCTAACAAATGGTAGTTTATGACCAGTAGCACCAGTTAAAGTGAAATAATGAGGACAACATATCAGATTTCTAAAAGTATAAATTCGATCAAAACATTAAACAACCATTCTCTGTCGCTAAACATCAGATAAAGCATGAACCTATAATTGGAAAAACAACTTAGAAAGAACATAGGAAGTATATAAAATTGCACAAAATCACTTTATATCTTCCTTAGGAGCAGCATTACCCTCCTCCGCAGCAGCTTCAAAAGTCTCCCCAGCAACAAGCTCTGGGACCTCATCTTCATCATCCTCTTGGGGTGCAGTTGCAGCAGAGCCTGCATTAGGTGCCTGCTTCTGTATCTGCTCAGCTAGCTTCTTCAGATTGTCCAAATTATCAGGCCCTACAGATCAACAAGTCAAAACAAAAAGAGTTAGAAGCAATTAACTATATATTGCCAAATTCAACATACTACAATGTGGAAAAAAATTAGAATGTGCTTACCCAAATGGCCAAGAACTTGAGGAAGAATATCCTGCAATTCTGCAGAAAAATAAAAGAAAAAATTTAACAATGAATATCAAGCAATGTACACTAAACACAGGTCAGGTGCAAACATTTAAAAAAAAATCATAATAGTAAATTCAAGTAAGAAAAGGAAACTGGTGATGCAAGAAAAGAAATTGGCAATTCAAGTATTACAGCCATACTCTTTGTTTGTGGAGCACCACTAACAACCCATGTATTGGCAGCAATTGATGCTTGAACTGAAATAAAAATTTGAAAGTATTATCAGTTTATTAAATAGCTGGATGAAAAATGTGAATAACATTCATCAATGTACATATGCATGCATCACCTTTGGGGTTCAAAAACTGGATAACTATGTCATCCTTAAATATGTTAACTTCCTCAATTGCAGGAATAGCATTCACTCCTATTCTTTTCAGGGTGCTCTGGAGCCTTTTATCATCTGTAGTTGTAGTCTTGTGGACAGCCTTCTTCTTCCTGTGGTTATGAGCAGAAATTTAAAAGAATTTGGAAGAAATTACAATGAGAAACTCAATGCAGGTCAAAATAATAATAAGATAAATTCAAGAGCTGACAGAAATTGTTTCCGAAATCATAAACCAATCACACCAAACAAGAGCAACAAACAGACAATCCATATTTCAGTCCTATCATTAGGTATTCAGCTACAGTTGAGTAGAAACAAATGTAAAATTCTTCCCTTCATAAAAATTTACAGCTACTATATGTTTCCTTGTTTAAGCTACCCCGTGAAATTTTACACTGATAAAACTTTAATTTTCATAAGATTATTAGACAAATTCCAAGGACAACTAGAATAGGTTGAAGTTGAAATAGACTATCCACCTTCTCATGCTGCCTTTCCCTCCAGTGCGAACTGCACCAGCCATCTTCATAAGTCTCTCCCTATTCATCTGCATGAAAGATGGAGAGGGATATTAAAAAAAATTACATCAAATTGGTCAATTACAACTAAAACAGAGAATTACACAATTAAAAACAATTAAAAAAATAGTCAGACCACAGTAAAAGAATAAATCCTAAAACCAAAATGACTAGTGAAGGATATGGACCATTTATTGCTGAAGCATTCCTGACCATGCAACATTATTATACACACACACACACACACACACATATAAATAAAGAGTAAGAAAAAACTGCAAAACTAAGTTATCACCAACAAACGAATTTCTCATTCACAATAAAAGCAGGGAGAGCGTATTGACAAGTACAAGAGTCCAAAATCGAAAGCCTTCTGTTCACAACAGTTCGTTAATGCGCTTTCAGGTGCCATTTTCTGAGGAAGTGCTAGTACCCATTATAGTAACAAAAAGCTTTCCGGAGAGCTAGCATTTTCAAGCAACCAACAGACCCAAATCCATATCCAAATATTATGCAAAGCACCTTGACCCAGAAAAGAAAAACCCCAACATTACCATCTACAGCAACTATAACAATGATCAATATAAATCATCTCATTTAATAACACACCAAGCTGAAACACATATCCACTAAAACAAAAACAAATAAATAAGCAAAAACAAAAAGATCGCACAACCTTATTTATAATTGTAATTAGTAAGATGATTTCAAGATAGAACTACAGATAAACGACAACATTACTAGAACCCTAAACAACGAATTCTAACAAGAAATTATTTGAGCACACATGGATGGAAAAAGAGGGAGTTTTACGAATATTACCTTTGCAATGGATTTAGGGTTTGTTATGGTCTGGGCCTAATATGCTTTCGGAGCAGATAAGAAAGGAAATAAAGGCTCGCTGGTTCTCAAGCGGCGCTCTGGATGCCCTTTATTTGCTTTTCGAGTATCCGATGGTATATGTGTGAGAGTACTCTAGTGCTCCAAGGACATTGTAGTTACAATGATGTAAACTGATGGTAGCCGTTGGATGTTACTGGCTTAATTCAGGTCGTTGATGTTTAAAAGTGCAAAAATGTAGGATTAGAAAATGGTTACTTACAAAAGCAAGGGAAAAAAAAAAAAAAAAAGGAAAAATGATTGTAAAACGAAATGATCAAACCGGTTCGCGCACCTCCTTACTATTGGCGTGATTCTTATGGTCGTTGGATGGTTGTAGAGGAGTGCAAAAATGGTAGGATTAGAGAAATAATACTCCTACAAAAGCAAGGAAAAAAAAAAAAAAAAAAAAGGAAAAGGAAAGTTCAGACTTAATACCCCAAAAATATTATGAACTAAGTTCATATATAAAATCTATTTAACTGTTTTTTTATTCTCCACTTATAGCTCATATAATTTTTATTTTTACATAAACTATGTTATTTAACTACTTTACTCTTCATATATTAAAATAAAAAAACATATATATTTATCAATATATACGGAAATAACTACTCATAAACACTAAATTAAAACATATAGAATTTGTGAAAATCGTAATATAAACACTAAGAGAAATTACTATATCTGGTAGGTTTATACTTCGCACTCGTCCTTGCACACACAATATATCCTAAATTGAAATCGTTTCAACACCACGTCCCATATTCTTTAGAACTTATACTTAATCTGAGGAGTAAGACTCCTTGGCTCACAAATATTTCAAACTCTCAACTAAGAGCGTATATTAAAATTTTTCATCACGTTATAGCATTCAAAATCTCAATTAACAATTAGTCTCACATGTGCCCATATCCACACCAAATATTAAAAGAAATTATCCTTATTAATCAACTTGTCATCACATTAGTACTGACAGGAGGAAGAAGTCTTATCTTCTTCAATCGCAGCACATTTGCATGTCATTACCACATTAAAGAGAGATAATTTGAGGCATAGATTGTAGAGACCCACCACATCAAAATTACTTATATGCCACACACACTTTCAAATAGAATCATATTGATTCAACACAAAATAAAATGATTTAAATTTTAGTATAAACAAAAAACAAGTATAATAAAATTAATCTGGTCGCTAAATAAGATCTCTACAATAAATGCTATTTCTCACATGAGAGATAATATTCTCTGTGATGACATCACATAATAAATCATTGAATTCATTACAAAAGTTTATTCCAAATAAAATGAAAAGGAGAAAGTCTCAAAATTTGTCCCCATATGATCTGGGCACAAACGATACAATTTTGACCCAAAATAATTTTAATTATTTTCGTATGAACAAATATACCTATGAAACTTGCCACATAGAGAAAACAAAGATATCTCTCAAATATATATTCCATAAATATAATTAATATTGAATACAAAATCTAAGTTTAATAGATAAAGTAATTATTTGGTGTCTGAAATCAAATATAAAATTATTATAAGAGTAATAATAATAAAAATATAGTAAAAATATGCTACACTCAAATAGTATTTCAATATCATACAAATATTATTTCTAAATCAAAAAATATTTAGAGTCAAATAACTCTCTCTTCAAAATACTGGTAATTTTTATAATTATATATTTATGATGATTTGAATTATACTCTTGAGTGTGCGTAATTACTCCTCACACTATTTTTTAAAGTAAATTATTTATATAATTAAAACTAGAAAGTAAATTCTTAAATATTTCCAGTATCTTAATTCATATTTTGGTGCATAGTTAAATAAAATGGGTATAAATAGTACAAAAAGTTTACATTCTTGAGCACATTGTTAATTGTCTCCGGGCGCGATACTCAAATAAGCTGGAGGCGCAGGATCATATTCTCTTAGTGGGGAACGTGCGAACGCTCGGGCGCAATAAAGCGGATTTTTAGCTGGCTTGAGCCATGCTCCTGAATATAATGAACGAGCCTGAAAATTTTAGACTCTAATGCGTGGCTCATGATGACACTCGAGCTTAGTGAACTCTGACTCTCGCAGGTTTCAGAGGCTCGATGAAAACTCGAGCTTAGCTTGAACTCGACTTGAGGTTCAAGTTTAACTCGAAAAAATTTGTAACTCAAACTCAGCTCGAGGTTTGAGGCTCAAGTAAGTCTAAAATAAGTATTATATTTATGTATATATAAAAGTTCAACAAGGCTTGATAAAAGCTTGACGAGTTTTTGAGTTGAAAGTCATTAGGCTCGAGCTCGGGCTCGAGTTCAAACCTGAAAATTTTAGACTCGAGCTCAGCTCGATGAAAACTCGAGCTTAGCTTGAACTCGACTTGAGGTTCAAGTTTAACTCGAAAAAATTTTTAACTCAAACTCAGCTCGAGGTTTGAGGCTCAAGTAAGTCTAAAATAAATATTATATTTATGTATATATAAAAGTTCAACAAGGCTTGATAAAAGCTTGACGAGTTTTTGAGTTGAAAGTCATTAGGCTCGAGCTCGGGCTTGATTCGAGTCAAACTTTTTTGAACTTTTTTGAGCCGAGCTCGAATAGCTTGCGAACCGAATCCGCTCATTTACACTCCTAGTTGTCGCAAGTTCAGGAGGTAAATTGAACCTTATCCCCTAAAAAAATTATAAGAAAAAGACAAAGAAGCATTTATTATGAGGGACTCTGTTTATTCAATAATGAGTTTGGTGACCCATTGAAAATAAACTTTTATCATCGGTATTTATAGTTATTAATTAAAAATATTTAGTAAATTTAATAGTGAGAATAATATTTAAAATATTGCAATTATGTTAAAAATTATAAATTAAAATGCTTAAATATTTATATTTTTTAGCCAATCAGGTGGTTGCATGGTTGATCTTCTCACCTATGTGAGGAGTTCGAATCCTCTTGACTGTAGTTATTTTTATCAATTTTGCTGAATATCTTTTCAATTGAGAGCCCTTTCATTTAAATAGAGATCATCTTGATTTACACTATAATTTGCAAAGATAAATGAAATCTCTAACGTCATCACACTAATATCCCCCCTCAAATTGGAGAAATTCTTTTAGCTTATTCTCTAGTAACTCTTTCATATTTTCTGTTTGGGTAGAGATAGGAACCTAATTGCTTGGTTTAGGAGTTACTGATATGGAACAAGTTAAAATAAGCAGCTACTAATGTGACTTTATTTCATTGGTGGGTATATGACTGACGTGATAGACTAATCTACTTAAGAAATTTTCCTCAAATTGGTGTACATCCCCCCCTCAAATTAAGATCGATACCCATACCTAAGGCCCATCCCTATTCTCATACCTTACCCAATATCCTATTGGATAGGAAATATTAATACCCGTGCCCGAACCCAATGGGTTCAAGTATACCCATGGGTACCCATGATTATCTATTATCCGCAAATACCCATTTATCCATATATCCATATTATTTAAAAAATTAGATTACATTGAATTAAAAAATAAAAGAACTAAAAAAAAGCATGTATCCAAATGATTTGCACAATATATTAAAAATATGAATATAAACTAATACAAATAAATGTTCAAAAAATGATAAATTAAAATTTTGATTACAAAGTTGTTCTTCTTATCATAATGCTTGCTCTTCTTATTATAATTTCTCATTGATGGGTAATAGTAATAGACTCTTCAACTGCAATTATGGTAAAAATAAATTAATAAAATAACTAAAAAACTCATATGATAAAATCAATAAATGTAAAAATATTATCACAAGAATATTCCAAATCACTATCATCATCATAAATAGTGGCATAACAATTTGTAGCTAATGATGCAGATTCATCTATTTCAAAATAAGATAATTACATTATCACGTGCAATTAATCGGTAAAAATGAAGTGAATAAAATCTTCTTATCATAATGCTTGCTCTTCTTATTATAATTTCTCATTGATGGGTAATAGTAATAGACTCTTCAACTGCAATTATGGTAAAAATAAATTAATAAAATAACTAAAAAACTCATATGATAAAATCAATAAATGTAAAAATATTATCACAAGAATATTCCAAATCACTATCATCATCATAAATAGTGGCATAACAATTTGTAGCTAATGATGCAGATTCATCTATTTCAAAATAAGATAATTACATTAATATAACAAAAATAAATGAAGCACTAAATAAATGAGTATACATTGTAACACCAAAAGGCTATAAAGCCAAACAGAATCAGAGAGCTATAAAAGCCAAATAAAATTAGAGGGCTACAAAGACAAACAAAATCAGATAGAACATGCCCGCTCATATAGAGGGCACCTATGTGCCAAGCATTTGAATCATAGCTATATCCGGATAATCAGAATTACATAATTATGCTAAGCATGCTCTCATAAATAGAATAATCTTAATCAAGCATCTAATTCACACTAATTATATTAAGAGCCCAAAATATTACTTTCTTCCTTTAAATTATATATTCACTTATAAAATCTTACTTCATCATATATACCATTTCATGAAAGGGTCTTAGCATGATAATCATTAAAGCCATAAAGTAAATATTTTATCATAAAGCCTTGTCATAGGAAATAACATGGCTTAGAGATAACTCTCATCATTCAAGTCATGCATTCCGTATATAATTCAGCCAACACATTCAGTATATCCATGGAAGCATGCATATACCCTGGCATTTACTCAAAAGTCCAACATTTCATGTCATAGGGAATCATAAGTCATCAATGTGATCCTCATCATGCAAGCTTCATAATTCACATACAAATAACTTAAAATATCTCTTATACTTAAAGAAACATAATCATATACTTCGAATACTTACCTAATCCGCCCTTTCGGGTTTGAACTTAGCGGGCTTTTTTGATTTTGTCTAAGTCACTTGCCCTTGCAAGTTTTCAACTTAGCTTATTTTTGTTCATACCTGAACTGCCCTTTGCAGGTTTTCAATTCAGCTTTTGATTGATTTTTTTATTAGCATAGAAAATCTGGAATTTTCATGAGAAAGCGGGCAAAAATATATTATTATTATTATTATTAT